GGTCGGGTTAGTAACCTGCCTACTATAAAGACTGCCGCCTGCGACCAATCTTTTAGACAATATACTAGGAGAATTCTGGCGAAACGGATGGCCAATCGGAAAGCTTAAATTTGGCGAATGAGTCAGACCCCCGCAAAGATAAGGCAAGGCAATGAAGAACCAATATTAGCCCTCCACCAGCCAATCGGAAGCGCTTAAATTGCGCAGATGAGTCAGACCCCCGCAAAGATGAGTCAAACTCATTCAAAGCCAATCAAATGCCTAGAACCAGAAGTCGGGCATCCACTATTATGACTCATTTGCCGAGGGCTCAAAAGTCAGTGACCAGCAACTGCATGAAGCTTAATAATTTTTAACTGGACTATTAATTTATCGAATGACTATTTTTGCTGACTGAAGTTTAAATATTTCGACCTGGACTCGTGTATTTTTTGACTTAGTCGCGTGACTAATCTGACAACCACTAGATCCGCCCCTCAGGATTGAAAATTTAATATAAGCGCGAATTCCAAAATGCACGACAAACGTATCATGTGTAATATTTACATTTTTTAACAATTAAACTTCTATACTTTTTAAAGTACGACGTGCTTCTGAATGTTGCAAGGCATCTAATAGGTATGAACTGTATTATTTATGTTCAGAAGCTTTATACTGAAGACTGGCACGTGCGCGGCACCGCCTGCACGCCGGAGTTAACGCCTTGTTATTTAAGATTTCCTGTTTCATATATTTTTCTCACGAAATTCGTGTACTACGTTTATACGCCATTTAGTTATGGCCCATTTCTATTAACTGTGGTTATGGTCACAGAGTTTATATACAGCGCAAGACTAGAAAGATAAAACCAATAAAAGGATTGTAAAACGACTACATGGTTTTCTTGACTACACAAACATAGTTGTTATCGAGTTTCAAGCAACTTGTTATAATTATATAGGCTTCAACAAGGTGCAATAATATTCTTGTACGTTTGCACGGTGACATGAAATAAGTAAATTAGCTAAAAGGTAAATCACATGCAGAGCTAGCGAGGGTCATATTTCAAAACACACCACTTCGTCCTCCTATATTATCCCGTTATGATAGCAATAGTTGATTTTACACAAATTAAACAATATCCTCAAATATAATGCGATTACTCAGCCTATTCGATTCCCTCTCTTACGATAAGTACTGCATACGTTTCAAGTTCAACATCAAGTTCATCCTCTTCTCGTCCTGCGAGAAAATAAATGAATTTTGAACCTCGAATGCCATCATCAACAACAAAAAATTCACAAAAAATGCCTAACAATCATTCACCACTTGAAAGGTATCTCGCGAATGCTGAAGCACAAGTATCAAAACAAGCTGCTAAGGTACACGAAGCTGAAGATAGAGTCAATCGATTTAAATAAGCGATTCCAGTCGTCGCGAAAATATCTTCGTCATGTGGGTCATGCCATAGAAGAGAGAAACATAATCGCGTGAGTTGCCCTTACAAGCCAAACCAATTTGAATCCGTTTTTACATGTGGCGAACTTGAAAAACACAAAAAGATAAAAAAGATGAACTTACGCCCTTTCAACGAAAATTGAATACAGAGAAAAAGAAACTAAATAAACTCGAATTGCAACTGAAGTGTAAAAAAGAGTCGCAGACAAAGACACTTAATTCGTTCAACGCAAAAATGCGAAAGCGGCTTGTCGCAAGTAACTAAGCAAAATGCTTATCGAATGGCAGGGAAAACTGAAGAGTTATCAACATGGATCTTAATTTATTAGACCAGCATTTCAAAGGAAAAGTTCCAGATGATGATATAGATTTACAAGAGGTTCTTGAAGGTATACGCATTCGCAAAATTCCGGAGTCTAAACATCATGGTCAGGTCAAAGAATTGTGGAAAATAAAGGGCATAACATGGCCATACAGGGTCTTCGACAGAGTCGTTTTGTGTGGGGGAAAGTCGATGTGAAAAAGTTGTAGTTCCACTTCGTCCAAATCTTTTTCTCCAGCAAACAAATCTGAAGAAAACGAACAATTACTAACGGAATTAAGAGAGAGCCTTCACTTTAAATAACAGATGAGTATCGAGCATGAAGCAGAGACGCAATCTGCACCCCCCGTAACACCAGCCATGCCAATCGAAACAAACGAAATTTCTGATAACGATGATGACAAGAAGACAGGACAGATGCTACTTGAAATTATTTTTAGCAGTCCCGAACAATCCGATTCCGATGAAACTAAAAAACGAAAGGTCAAAGTCAAACTCAAAAATGCAATTCACACACACAGCGTTTTTTTATTATATAATTTTAACAAACGGGGTGATTATCCACTATAAGTAGGTTTTAAATGGTCAAATCTTATTTATGGAAACTTTTTTGAGTTTTATATGTATAGTTATAGTTTTCTTCGTTGTTAATCATGAAGACTATTTAATGCATGTTTTGTCAAATATATAGCTAATGCATTCCCATGCATTCAAGTGCATGTTTTCATTGTGCTGTATTTGTTAACTGATCGGTTGCATTTGAACAAAAATATATATGATTTCAACATACCACAATTTGTAAGCCACGTCTGTTCACGTTTCAAAAATGCATATGTTTGCAGTTCTAAAATTGATAGGTTCTCTGCTTCCATTTTTACGTTTGTCTGGTTACTAGCTGTAACGGCAAATATACCTGTTTAAAACCGCATATAAACAAACAAGTTTTCACGGTTAACTCTATCCTGCAAATGGTAGTATGACTTTATTTCCAAATATTTTGACTTTTATCCGACTTAATTTGTTAGGTTTGACATTGCATCAAAAAGCTGTAGAAAATACTAAAACAATTGAATTAAATTCACAATGAACATTTTCGGTCAAATTTTTAATGATGTGATCAGTATTTGAAGAACCAATGTTTACATGTAATTATTCATATATACCCTTTATTTTGTATTTTGACATAGGTAATTGGAACCATATTGTAGTTCTTATATAGTTATAAGTTAATTTGTAAGAATTGTCTGAATTAAACAAACTAGAGAAAAAAATTAGGACGTTATGTATATGTGAGCAAAAGGGGAACATAATAAGTAGTTTGTTGAATAGTTAATTGCGAATTAAGGGGCGTAGAAATAGAAATAAAAATAACCAGATGGGGTAGTTGGGAATTTTTTGGACAATCGCCAACCATGTGGTGTGTTTGAAATAAAATTTTTTGTAAAAAAGGTTTTGTTTGTGTTATTGTGTATGATGGAGTTCTTCAAGAAACTATGTAGGAATACTACTACTACTATGGAACATTAACATGAAGACGTTTTGAATATTCATCGCGTTTCAACATTGTCTTTATCTTATTAAAAACTCATTCTACTGCATTAAATTCAGGTGAACGAATTGGCGTGTAAATGACAGCTATACCGATATCGTTTAGCCAGCTAGCACTTGCTTTTCCACCTTGAAAGCGATGAATAGCAGCATTATCATAAACAATGACATCTCCGTTATCGAGTACTGGCAGTCCACTGGGAGTTGTATACTCAACTGCCTCACTCCAAAAATTTAAAAAGTCATAAGTATCAGCTCCTCCAAAAACAGTATTCGCGTACAATACGCCTTCTAATCCACATAAAACATTGAGAGTATAGTTGGCGCCTTTCGATTGTCCATTTAATATCTCAACAGCATTGGTTCCTTTCAGCGAATGTCCGTAAGACCTATGTCCTGTAGCTACATTTATGCCTGCATCGCCAAAAAATTTAACTTTAGCAGGATCCAAACCATGAAGGAATTCCAAGAACTGTTGTGCATAGGCTGTATTGTCATTTGTAAATTGGTCCATAAGCTGTTTCGTAAGTTTCTTCCAAGACCACGGTCCGTCCGAAATACGAATGCGAACAGTTCTTCCAATTGCACTAACAGAAGTTCATCCTTCGATATTGCCGAAGACTTCTAATCTCTCCTTCAATGTCGAGTAGCTAATGCTTGGCCGTTCTTTCTTTAGAAATTCCACAAGCTCGACATCTTAGGGATGTATATGAGTAGGATTTCCTGTTGTATGCGGACCTGGTTTAGCAGGTCTTCAGAGCAAACTAATTTCCACACCTTTCTTGCCGTTTCAGGCCATATTTGAAAACGATTCACCACCTCAATAAACTACTAGGAAAAAACCCAGTTGCCATGTCCCCTCCGAGATTTAGAATATAATCAACTATGGCACATCGCATTTCCTCACCTATTGCCATCCCACAAACAAAAGATCTCCCTTTATTCAACACCTTGTGCTTCTCCTGGCGCGCCATTTGGATGCAAATTGTATTGTATATTTAAAAATATTTATACATGAGTAAACAAACTTTCCACGCTGCATTCCTTTACTGTGACGTCATAAATCATAAAGGTTTCTACTGGCTTCTGAGTATCTTTTCGACTTCCGGAAAAGACACTCTACTGATTTCCGTAATAATATGCAATATTGATACAGCTGTCAAACTTGCGACAGACAATTTATTCAAAGGTCAAGCGTATAAAATATATATTAAGCTCTCGAGAATGATTTTGAAATAATTAGAAACATCAGAAACATTGTGTTTTAGGTAATGTGCTGTTCGAGTTACCGTTTATTATTTAAGGGTTTCTTGTTTCACATTTTTTTCTCGCGAAATTCGATTAGTATAAGTTTATATGCCATTTATTGCTCTCGGTTGATGAAACAGTGTTGCATTCCACCATTAAGTTGCTTGTTGAAGCCTATATAATTATATATATATATATATATATATATATATATATATATATATATATATATATATATATATATATATATATAGACGATATAAAGACGATATAAAATACAAACTTGGTTTACTTCATATGATTTTATTCACTACAAATTTGTTTCGTAGTGCTTGCCACACTCATAAGTGAATTTAAATTCCATAACTAATATATTGTTCTTCACAGCGGTCATAAGACATAATGCCGGATATTTATTTAACAAAGCGTTATAGGAGGAAAGTAATCAATCTTTAAAGGTTGTGATGTTTATAATTGGCATGTTCCATGTCATTCGTCCGTCGTCTTCTGTCGTGATGAATCTCTCAAAATATGCTGAATCTAAATCTTCTGGGTTCTGATGCGCAGAAACTCTGTACCATTGCTTGAAGTATTCAAATGATTCAAAACGAAATGGTGTGACAATTCGCTTCATCACAACATTGTTGAATAAACCAACCGCTTGAAACAAATCACGATAGCCCTGTGGGGTTAAAGCATTGTAACCCTGGATATCATTTTCATTATCATTTAACATCTTCTCAGAACAACAGATAGCAAGCTTTCCTCCAGACTTTAAACATTTATATGCTGTTTGAATGTAAATCACTTTCCCGTCATTTGGAATCCAATGAAATACATGAGTACTAACATGAGTGTCGTAATACGGTTGATCATCGTGTGGAAACCCAGCAACACTATCACCGACATGAAAATGTAGATTACTGCATTCTTTATATTTTTCAACTGCGATTTTAATTCTCGCAGCATCAGGATCAACCCCAACCACCTCGCTATCAGGACCAACGATATCAGCGATGTATTTAGTGAGCTTGCCTGTTCCACAGCCCATATCAAGGACTTTGTCTCCCTTGGAAAGGTTCAAATGGCGAATAAATTCCTCTCCCACTTCAACTTGTGATATGGACAGCTTATCGTAGGCCACAGGGTCTGCCTCCATCTTGGCTTTCTAGAAATGTGCTTGTTTTGTACGCATCAACGGAGTAATGCCTGATTTAATACAATGTGAGTTTAAACGTTTCAACAATGTCTTTAATCAAAATACTACACCCCGTATAGTAAAAGGTCGAATGGAAAAAATATGTTCTGAAAAGGGGTGGGGCGATGATGGAATAATTAAAGAATAATATGAGATAACATTGAATACATAAATAGTTAAAAAAGTTAAAAGAGTAAGTATAGGAGTATGTCACTATAGTTGAAAGTGAGTAAAATTTTGTTTGCACTGTTTAATTAAGGGATCAATTTTCCCCGGCTTTAATTTCTCTTTTGCGCAACTGATCATGAAACACCTAAATAGGCCGTAGGATGAGCATCCAAAAGATGCTTAGAAAACGGATTCCGTTGCACCCCTCGTGAAACTACATAATTTTCACATGAATCAATAGATAAAAACTTACTTTATCAGAATCCGTCGCTCCCCAAGCGAAACAGGTGCACAATTGGGAAAACAATCCCTCCAAAGTTTGCTATATTCGCGCTTCGAAATATTCAAATCGCCATTGTTTTAGTAGCAAATGCGCATGCGCTTGTCAGCCAAACTCGCACTGCGCACGCGCATAAGCACGCACATGCTTCGAGTTATGCAAAATAATCATGGCTGAAGATATTTATAACACTCGAATATCCTCATGTTTTATTCATTTTGATGGCGTTACGGAGCAACTTTGCAAAGTTACACGCCAAAGGCTTAAGAAATTTCTTGAGTGTAGGTCCAAAATGGGCCAAACTTAAATGTCAACAAGCTGAAATAGCTAAGAAATCTTACGAAAACATCGATGACGGATCTGTCAAATCATACATGGAGAAGAACCCTGACAGCATTAACTGAGAATGGTACCATCATATGAAATGCTGGAAGAGATTTTGTGATGAAGAGAAGATCCGTAGACAACAGCGAAAGGAAGAAAAAGGAGAAGGCACTAGCTCTGAAACTGTAACTCCTACCGAAGGACTACATGTGAAAGTGGAACCAATGGAACCAAGGCGAAAAATTACACGACAATCAGTCGCAGACGTTAATAAGACCCTGCCTAAAAGAAACGAGCATGTACTTCCAGAGATATGTATTGTTTGTGGAAGAGATTCCTCTTAGTTCTCACTAGACAAGGTATGGTCATTTTGATAGATATAATTATACTAGTGCAATGTGCACTAGTAGCTGGTGCAATGTGCACTAGTAGCACAGCATTCTCGAGTTTGGTTTTAAAATATCTTGAATTGTGGTCAATTAAGTTTATTTAGTCTTAGGGTAAAGTAGTCTCTAATGCTACAAACATCCAACTGTGTTATTAGCAGATATTAAGTTTAATAGTTTTGTTCACACCAGGTGACTAAGAAGAGAAGAAGAACCCCACTCATGTTGGCAGAAACAATTGATGCTGGTCTTCTACGTACAGCTGCCGAGAGAAAGAATGATGAACGGATACTCGTGTAAATCCGGGGGAAAGACTGTGTAGCACTGGAAGTCCGCTATCACAAAGTTTGCTACTGCAATCATACAAATTTTCTCACCAGAGAGACAAAGAAGCAATTGGAGACTGAAAGATCTACAGTGTACGAGAAGTCTTATGATGTCTTCTGTAAGAAAGTAATCAAGACTGAGGTCATCGCAAATAAGCAAATAAGGTACATGAAAGATTGCTGGAGAAATTTGTTATCATTGCTAAGGACACCGAGAATGTGGATGCATCTAAATATAGAGCTTTTAAACTCAAGCAACGACAGATGAAAAGTTATCCCCAACTTGTGTTCTATGTACCGAAAATGAGAAATGTTAGTGAGATTCAAACAAGTCAGAAAACAACGATGAAGACTTTGATGAAGAGAGCTATACCGGTACCATTGATGATGATGATCTGAATTCCAACACAGAAACTGAGGGAAATTCTAAAGTCAATGAGTTACAAATTCTATACAAATTATACCAAAACTGAATCTTCCTTGGCCACCATTGGCATCTGATTTGACAATAGATAATGTGCAAAAAGTGGTTCCATGTGAACTTTTTAATGTATTGGCTTGGACTTGTGGATTCTCTTCAGAGCCAACTTTAAGTGAGTACGTGCCAATTGACGGCAAGAACAGTTCCAAACTAACATCAATTGTACAAGACCTTGTGAATTTAGCATCTGGGGGAAGGAATCTTACACCCAAGAGCATAGCACTTGCCATGGCACTTAGACAACTGACAGGTTCAGCCTCAGTAATTTCTCTATTGAGTGGCTTTGGACATTGCATGTCACACTCATTTGTATTGTGCCATGAAACTGCCCTTGCACAGATAAATATATCCAATGATTCTGCTATTCCTCCAGGCTTTGTTAGTGATGTTCCAACTACTCTTGCATGGGATAATGCGTTTGGCCAAGGCTATATTTAAGCGAAATATTTAACTTGTTTCTTGATTGTGTGAGTTGTATGTATATTTATATATTCTCCGTCCTGTTTGATACAGGTGGGTTTTTTACCTCACAAATTTTTATTGAATTAAGATGTTAATAAGTAGAATTATACGTTAAAACGGTATTTTGAAACAATAGCCAATAAATTGAAGTGATTTAGCATATGAGCAAGCAAAATGTACAATGTGTTTTAACAATATTTATTGTGTGTGTATTTATTCGTTAATATTACAAGGTTTGATCTTTATTCTGTGATTTTATTTTGTTATTTTTACACGGGAAATCGGGGAAAACCCACAGGGAAAATCCATTTTTCCTGTCTGCGCGTGCGCAGTGCGAGTTTGGCTGACAAGCGCATGCGTATTTGCTACTAAAACAATGGCGGTTCGAATATTTCGAAGCGCGAATATAGCAAACTTTGGAGGGATTTTTTTCCCATTTGTGCACCTGTTTCGCTTGGGGAGCGACAGATTCTGATAAAGTAAGTTTTTATCTATTGATTCATGTGAAAATTATGTAGTTTCACTAAGGGTGCAACGGAATTGCATCTTTTGGATGCTCATCCTACGGCCTATTTCTTTTGATGCGATCGCAGAATAAGGCAGCCCGATCTTCTAAAGACACATTACTTGGCTGAAAACGTGTCAAAACACGACCAATTCCCCCCTCAGCGAGCTCTGAACAAGGCCTCCATTCGTCGTAGTCTTCCGAGTATACGATGTAATGGATTTTAACTTTGGAGTTAATTCGGTCTCGGTCAACAATCTAAAGCAACAGAAATTATAAGTAAAAGCAAAATCACTTGAACCATACTAACCTCAATTGGATAAAATTTTGTCTTGTCGGTTTTTACTTCAAGTTTTCGTGGTACTTTCTCACATTTAAAGCGTTCTCCGTCCTCTACAGTCTTATAAAACCCTTTCTCCGGTCGTCGTCGCTTCCATGCGTTCGCCATATTTGATTGCGTAAAATACAAACAAGTTGATACTGCGCGTGCGCACAGCTGAAGAGCAAATGTCCGTATAAATAGGCTCATGTTTTGGTATGCCACCATGTCACCTATCCCAATCCTCTGAACTCCCCATATATTTGATTCACCTGCAAACACGACTGGTCAGGCCAGGACAAGAAATCCTCCGCCGCCATACATCCATATTTTACCACATTCACTTTCATCAAATTTTCCACCTCCATTATTAAGCCATCCTTCAACTCAAGCCTTCAAACATCAAGCCCCCCAACATCAAGCCCCAATCCCCTTTAGCACGCAAAGCTACCGAAAGAAGAAAAGACAGGAAGAGTTATGTGGTGAATCTTCGAAACGATACAAGGAACGAACTGGCTCAGCTAAGTGCTCGAAGTGCCGCGAAAATAGAACAGGAAACCATAAGCAATACTACGGCAACTGGTATTGTCCTATATGGAGGAAACGTATGAGCAGTGGCGGGAGAACTTTGGGGACAAATACAAGAAAAAGTAGTGAATGGTCCACAAGGACTTCGTTGTAAATAGTAATTATATATAGTAGAATAATGATCATTTTTATATGGAAATAACAATTCAATGGCATTTAAAGGCGATTACATACTTCACACGTGGTTAATTTGATTATTTGATTTAAACACCCCGCGTATTTTGGGGAATCCCCAACCTCGGGGAAAAGCCCTTCTTACTACTCCCGCGGGTCTCCCTCACAGAGAAGTTTTAACACCATGCACAAGCTCAATCTTCTCACTTCGATAATCGCTCTGCTCAAAGACACAGTTCGCAAAATTTAAAGCTATTATTTCCGCCAAATCGAAAAATTTCTTATCATACCTCGAGCCGGACGTAGTCGAACAACGCCAACTACATCAAACACCAAGCGGCTCTTCGAGAACGTTGCGCCGAACAAGGTTTGAAGTTCCACGAGCTCTCTTCAGTCAAAGATGGTCCCTGCGACTGCCCCGGATAATCCTCGCCAGACAGCGACAGCGAACACTTTCAACGATGCTCAGTTAGCGCAAATTCAGGCCATCCTCGACAAATCGACTGAACAGATTGCGACAACCGCCGCTAAAGTTGCTCTGGCATCCATGCAGAACTCCGGTCCCGTCACCAACAGCATAGATGAGGCTATCGTTGATGATGCTCCTGAGCAATCTGTAGCCGCGCATTTTGTAAACTCGGCTGTTCCTACCTCGACGTTACCTCAAGTGCCATACAACCACGTATTCCACGATGTTACATCCTATAGGAGTGTTTACCCTAAGCCCCTTCTCCCACAAAAACGCGTGTGCGTATGTGTATTGTTTTGCGCAGAAAACCCGCTTGCTAGTAATCATTAGAACGGCTTCGATCATTAATAAACAATTTGGATTTCGAGCAAAGCACTCTACCCTACTCTATCTCAAAAAATGAGGCACTATGTTAATCGAAAACTTCACATTAATTTGTATTATTATACATTATAGTAGTAAAAGAAATTTGATTGGCTAATAGTTGACAGATAAAACGCGCAATCATGCAAAATTCAGTTATATGCTAGCAGATAACT